GGACCTGCAAAAAAGTTCAAAAAATCTGAAATTTTTCAAAAAATTTTTTTTACTCGAAAAAACCAAGAAAGTGTTAAATTACGTTCCGAACATCATTTAGGGTAGTTTCGGTGAATTTTAGACTCTTACCTTTAAGATAAGAACTTGAACATTTTTGAAAAATCTCATGACCCCGGACCTGCAAAAAAGGTCAAAAAATCTGAAATTTTTAAAAAAATTTTTTTTACTCGAAAAAACCAAGAATGTTTTCAAATACGTTCGGAACATCATTTCGGGTAGTTTCGGAGAATTTTAGACTCTTACTTTTAACCCTTTAATTCCTTATCCAGATGTACATCTGGATAAGACCACGTGACCGATACCCTAGCCGAAAATATTTTATTTTGGAGCTCCAAGGCAACATACCCTCCTTAACTTATGCTAAAATTGCTCAAATATGATTGGACAGTTAGAAAATTATACTTATTTGATTAATTTATGCGCTTCTTTCGTATAAATATCCCAGACAACGTGGGCCTGTAACCGCCATCTTGACTGATCTTGTTGCGTATGTCGTGAATGAGGCGTGTTTTTCAAAATTGATTTTAAAATGGATAATGAGAACGGACTTGACTCAGAAGATGAATTTGAGATCGACTGTGCCTTATTAAGTGGTAGAGAGGTAGAAATTCGGTTTGTAGCACCGCTGACGGAAAGAGTGGACGAACCAAGACGAAGGAAGCCCCGCAGGAAGCGACAAAGAGAAGAAAATCCTGAAACTTCGAATGAGAGTGGATCGTAAGTTTACATATTGTTTCCTTCAAACTTTTGGATACATTAGCGATAAAGAAGAACCATTTCTGAAGCTGTAGTGAAAATCTTAGAATAATGGCTAACTAAGTACGGCCAAAAATTTTTGTTTTTTTGGGAGTGGTTTTCAAGAAATTTTAGGCCCGTGATAAACAAATCAGCTGATTTTGTATATGGTGGCTCTGAACAGATTCACTTAGATTTCTTTACTATTTGTTGCACTACTGCAGAAATTACCAAATTATAAATCATCTTGTCTTTGCTTATTTTCTATATCTTTGTTTTAGGCAGAGTCTGGCTGGTTCAGGACATCCAGTTGAGTTGGACGATGAGTTGGACGGAGCTGTAGTAGTCGATGAGATCCATGACGAGTCAGAAGTTAGTGAAGAGGAGTATCAGGATAGTGATTGTAGTTTGGCAGAGTCTCTAGGCTACACAGGTGATAGGGAACAGAAATGGCTTCCACCCAAAATGTAAGCAGTGTTGGCCCAAAAGTAGTTTGGGCGAGAGGCAGTGCCCCTTGTAGAGCCTTAGACTTTTTCTTGCTTTTTTTTTCTTTTGATCTGATGGGAACCATAATTGAAAACTCAAACATTTATGCTGTGTATGGTCAAGGAATAGGTCAAAGCTACATGTCCCAGGACCATGGTTGCCATGTGTGGAGACCCATTGATTTGATGGAATTTAGGAGATTTCTTGCCTGTCTATTTTATATGGGTATTGTTAAGGCCCCTGCTAGGCGTAACTACTGGCAGAATGATAAGCTTTTTTCTGGTCTTCTTGGGTCAATGTTTATTCCAACATTTTCTAGGTATTGTGGAATACTTGCTGCCCTTCATTGTGTAAACCCTGAGATAGAGGACAAAAGTGATCCATTAGGAAAAATAAGGAATTTCTATGACCATATGCGAAGTCGCTGTAAAGAACTTTTTACTCCTGGTAAATGTGTGTCAATAGATGAACGTATGGTTAAGTCTAAGGGTAGGTTCTTCTTCAAACAATATATAATGAATAAGCAAACTAAATGTGGTTTCAAACTTTGGGTTCTAGATGATTCTGCTACAGGCTACAATTGGGATATGGTGGTTTATACTGGTAAAAGCAGAGGATGACTGGGATGATTTCACTGTTGTTGATAATAGTTTTGAAGGGATAGAAAGAGGGCTTGGTAGAGCTAAGGCTTTTAATGAAAATCCCGATGCAGAAAGTGCAGGAAATCTCATCAACCAATTGGCTGCCAGAGTTGTTATTAATTTAACAAAACCTCAGGTAAACAGGGGGTATGTTCTTTTTGCTGATAACTTTCATTGCAGTGTCCCATTGTTCCAATATTTGATTTCAGTTGGTATAAATGCTGTTGGTACTGTGAGGGAAAATTCCTCATTCTTTCCTGAGTTAATGAAAAATAGGCAGTCTTGGGGGAAGAAACTTGTTAAAGGAACAATAAGATATATAAGAAATGGAGAAAAGCCGAATGATGTGTTCAGTGGGTTGATTGGAATGTTGTATCTGTTCTTTCCACCTACCATTCTGCCAATTATTATGATTATGGTACAAGGAATACCAAGGTTGATTGAAGTCATAGAAAGGTTAAGGTTTTGTGGCCTAAATGCATTTCAGATTATAACAAAGATTTGAATGGTGTGGATTTGTCTGATCAGATGTACGATATGTATTCTGTTCAATATAGGACTAAAAAGTTTTGGAAAACATTATTCTTTCATTTTGTTGATATTTGTGCTTGGAATACATATGTGGCTTAGTAGCCTAACCCCTGAGCAGAAAATGTATAAGAACTATTCTTTTCTTGATTTTAAAAAGGATTTAGCCCTTCAGCTTGCTTTTGTTGAGCAGAAAGCCATTAGAGCAGAACCAGAGGTCAGATCATTTGCAGATTTAGGTACTAAAGTTAGTAATGTTAGTAAAACGTTAGTTAGTAATTAGGGACTTAATCTGTAAGGCAACAGCTCATGCAGTAAATAGTGCAAAGCAAAGATAAGCAACTTTGGACAAGGCAGTTAGAAAAAAGGAATTGTGGCAGAATAGATTAAAAAAAGGACATTTGCTGGCGAAGCTCGAGAAACACCAAGTTTACAAAGTTTCCTCAGTTATGAAGTCAGTGCATAGCATAGATCGAAGTTATAGGGCAAAAACCTCGCAATTTGGCTGTGTTGTATGTGATATCCCTTTGCATATTGGAGAAAGAAACTGCTTCTTGCTTTTCCATTCCCCAGAGTTTGAGCTGTACAAGGAAGCTTTCCTAAGTTACAGTCGTGATTGCTAGATTAGTTGTTGTTTTTGGTAAATGCATGTAGATTAGATAGAGAAAAAGCCATAAAAAACATTTTGGTCAAAATTACAATCTTTTCTCTCCAAAATATTGTGATTTTTACTTGTTTTCTTTCTCTTAAAAGTCAAAATCGAAATTGCCGAATTGAATTATTTTAGACCCATTGTTGCATACTAATTAATTAAAAAAAGACTGTTCAAGAAAAATGTTGATATTTCAACTCAGTGTGCTAAGACTATGACAAAATACATTATTGAAAGAAAAAAGTAGTTAAGTGTTTTATTATTGGAGATCATTAACCTTAATTTATAAAGTTCTTTTCTTTGATATTTATTTAATTATGCAAATTGGATGCTAATTAATGTCAAATTATAGTATAATTTTGGCATAATAAGATTATTTGCATGAAATACAGCTATTGATGATTATTTGGGCCAAAGATCATCCAATTATCTTGAAAAATAAATTTTTATTGAGTTTTTAGATAAAGTAGGCAGAATTCTGTCAATAACGAAAGCTGAACATAATACACTGGTGACATATTTCGTGAGATATTTTTGTCTGGTGCCTTAGAAAATCCATTTGTAAACTCAATATTGAAAGTAAGTTAGATATGTCCCTCATGTACTCTACAAATATCTGTGATTGAGTTGCACAACTTTTAAAAAGAATTTCAATAAAAGCTTCAAACTCAGCTTAAAATAAAATGACGTTTAGTGTTTCTTGCAATGGCTTTTGCACAATCGTAGTTGCATCATAAAAGCTTTAGAGTAGGTCTTCTGCTCTGCAGCATTTTTTGAAGATGTGAGAACTAAATGAACTATAATAGAAATCTCTTAATAGAGACTCAAAATAACCATAATTTACTCCAGCTTTGTCCTGATTCAATTTTCACTATCTCTATCAAGCTGAGCTCTTGAAAACATAACCTAACTCTTAACATCACTTCAAGATTTGTCTAATTCTTCTGCATTTTCTTTAAGAGCCTTCTCCCGCTTCTCCTTCAAAATATCATTTTGGCGGAACAGATCCCAAAGGCAAGCTCTCTCTACCAACATCGCTATAAGCTTACTGATTTAGCCACTCTCCCATTTCTTCACTCCAAATAGTTAATTTACCCTGAATATTTTCCCTGAAATTATATTATGTTTCTTGAGAAGTTTGGAGCTTTCACAGTCATTCTCTCTTTTCTTCCCTGGTTTTGACACTTCCATGGTATTTTTTAGAAGAAGTCCCATTGCTTTAATAGCATCTTCATTGGCATCATTCATATCCATGTAACTATTCTCACTGACTTCAAAAGCCAAAATTTTTTAATCTCAGTGAAACTTCATCAAACGTTGAAACTGGAGATGATGGTGGTCAAACAATAGCAAATGTTGCTAGATAAAATACAGGATTGTTTGGCCAGGGCCTTAAGCAGTGGAAATTCAAAAATTGTGAAGAAAATGGATATTTTCGCCCAGCTTTAAAGTGTAAATATAGAGAGTTGGTTGGACACCCTTCATGAATCTGAGTCAAGGCCAAAACATTTGAGAAAAGCTACTGAAGAAGGAGCAAACAATAAAGATGAAGCAGAACACATCAAATTTTTTGATTGGACGTTTTCTGCATCTGCAACAGAAACCCTGCCAATTTCAAGTCAGCTATGAGAGAAAAGATGAAAAATCGGGTGTGGCATATGCATTCGACATTTAGACATTTTATCAACATTTGCTTTTTCCTGGCCTTCAAGAATGATGGCCTCTGAAATTGAAAATAGATTTAATTTCAATAGCAAAGCACAAAAATACTCTTTAAACTGATCCCTTAACAAGATTTGAGAAGAAAAAGTGTGTGAAATACTGCCAATTCCACTGAGAATTGATTCTCAGAAAAATAATTTTCAGAGTGAATGATTCAAACTTGAAAGGGTATCAATAGATACCTAAGTGGCTACATACCATACCTATGAAGACAGTGGCTTCATAGATACATACCTATGAAGACAAATGCAAATTTTACAATTTTCAACTGTATAAATATCAACGCAAACTGATTTCTCTTTTGTTAATTCCCCCAAATACCTTCCAATTAATTTTGAAAAGATAGAAAATGATATAATGGAATCATTCATCAAAAGTGACACTCTGCTATCTGAAAGTCAAGATCTATCAGCCAAAATAATTGAATTAGAAAATCATTGGAACCTGTGGAGTTGCACCTTGCTCAAGTTAAACTGTCTATTTCTTCATTGAAAAGTTAAAGTCTGATAGTTCTGCAGCAAGGTTTTACACTGGTTTTACAAACTTTCTAACACTGATGTCAACATTTGAAAACTTGGAACCTAAAGTTATGCAAATACAATTGAAAGTTGCTTTGTTTGTTGATGATTTAGCTGATGATTTAGCTGATCATTTTGAAATTTCTTCAAGTCAGGTTTCAAAAATCTTTACAACATTGATTTGTTTTCTCTACCATGAACTCATACTGCTTTTCAAACCCCCTTTCTCAAGAGGTTGTTCGCCAAGCCATACCTGCTCAATTTAAAGACTTCCCAACAACAAGATTAATAATAATTAATTGCACGGAAATATTTGCAGAAGTCCCATCATCTATGAAAGCAGTCACAAACATGGTCTGAATACAAGCACCAAAATAAATGGAAAGTTTTGATTGGCATATCACCTTTTGGCCTAATTACCTTTATGTCAAAGTTGTGGTCTGGTAAGGTCTCTGATAAAGAAATCACTCCAAGTTCAGGCGTTCTAGCACTTCTTGAGGATGGTGACAATCTTGTGGCTGACTGTGGCTTTAATTTCAAAGATATTCTTCCTCCTGGTGTGACTCTAAACATCCCACCTTTTAAGGGTTCACAAGCACAACTCAGAATGAATGAGACTGAAGAAACTGCTCGCATTGCTTCTGTACACATTCATGTGGAGCGTGCCATTGGAAGGGTGAACAATTACCATATCCTGGATGATGTCCTTCCATTATCATTGCATTCAACGGCTAATCAGATTGTCACTGTTTGCTGTCTACTTACAAACTTTTTGCCAATTTGAGTTGAACAAATAAAGTACTTCTATATATATCTATAAAATTTCTATACATTTATCTATCTTTGTTTGAGCCATGTTACATCTATTCTGTATGCATAGTAAACAATGCTTTAGTAAAAATTATATATGTTCCAATACTTTAGAACATACACAATGTTAAATCTACCCTGTATGTATACTATACGATGATATTTTGTAAAAATTATACATGTACCAATACTATACAGCATACACAATGTTTACTTGAATACATATTTAGCGATGAAAAACTCTTTAAAAAGGCTTTCAGAAATTATTATGTTTAGCCAACGATATTGAAAAATGTTGCAAACAGGATTTATTTTCTGCGTGTATATCTTAGTAGTGGCATAGGGGGAAAATGCGTGATGCTGGTCATGGCAGCACGGGATTGCGGGCACAAACACTCCACATTGATGGAAACACAAGGTCAGTGGTTGAATCAGAAAATGTCAACAACAGGTTAGGTGTGGGGAAGAGACTAGCATTAAAAAAAGTTCGAAAAGGTAAATGAGTAGCTATCTATCAGTAAAAGTATCGATTTCTATCATCTATCTATACCTACTTTTCAAAATAAAAGCAATGACACGAAATGGAAGTCACTACAATTCCACCTCCTGGATTGTAGTGGAAGTGAATAACAGGCAACATTGCCGTGAGAAAAAATGTCAACTAACTAAAAATCTAGCTTTTCCAACAATATGAAATTATCACTGCCGACTTTGCAAAACTGTAAGGTTTCACATGGTAACTTTCTTTCATTGTGAATTTATTGCCTATTTTGGCAGGGCAGAGGACTTTAGCCAGCAGTTTTATCTTTTGAATACCACCTCGTTGATTGTAGTTGAAGTGAATAACAGGCAACATTGCGGCAAGAAAAAATGTCAACTAACTAAAAATCTAGCTTTTGCTAGAACACAAAATTATACTAAAACTAAATTCGCAATCATTTCAAGTGGGAGCAAATTCGAAGCTTTGGTACATGCGTAAAGTACTTCTTATTTTTCGATAAATGTGCAAAATTTCTCAAGGCAAGCGACTGGGGCACAAGATATAATGGTGTCTTTCATGTAATGAAAATGGCTGTCAAAAAGGTAATTGCTTTTATTTTCTATTATGATGGCCATAGCTTAGTCAGGGTTTATTATCAAAACAATCGCAACCTTTCTCTTTTGTGATGATAACCTCTCTATTTGTCCTAACAGATCTTGCAAGTCAATCACAGCCTTCCGTGGCTCGGACATATACAAACCAAGGTGACCGAGTTGTATGATGTCTTCAACATACATGTTTTAGTTCCCATTTATTTTTGGTAATATTCTATAAAGAGCATTGCCTCCATTGATAATTCTTATGTATTGTCTGGCAAGACTTTCGTGGTTATCATTGACCATCAAAAAAGAATCATTCAACCAATGAAGACAGGCAATCGCGGAAATGACACAGCAGGAATTGATTCCGTCAAACATATTGATGTCGTTATGATTAGTCAGTCCTGGCTGACTGTATTTCTACGGCAGACTTATTTTGGTGACAGACCCAATTTTAAAGACAGAGAGATCAGTTTCTGTTATATCGGGACTGAAAGATGATGTTAAGTGCCATGAACATCCACAAGGTACTTTTATGCCCTCATTGGAGCAAACTTTCCCAGACCTGTTAAATTTTCTTTTGCTTTTTCTTCCACTGTGGCCACGTGAAGAGTGCATGCATTTTTTAGAATGGGAAGGCCTAGTTTGCCCATCCACTTTAATAATCGCTGTCTTTTCTCTACTATTATCGGGTTTTGCAGGTTTTGAGGAGTCTTAACTTGCACGAAATTTTGTGGATTATATCATTAAATTTTTCTTCGAAAATATCATCAAGGGGTCATTCCATGTCAATGTGAAACAGTCACATAACCCACCACCTCAGATTTTGATGATTTTTGGTCGACATGTTGAAAACCATGACATAAACATAAACTGAAAATTTCATCTTCATATCTTTTACTATTAAAAAGTTAGACGGGTTTGAAATTTTAATAATTTTGGCACATTTTTCAATGATCTGCCACTTTGAATTTTTGCTATTATTTACTTAAATTAGAACCAATGAAGAAATGATACATTTAAAATGAAAATAAACCAGACAAGCTAATCAACTATGTAGATGTCAAAAACATGATCAAAAATTTCCAGTCACAAACAAAAGTCATTCTAAATATAGAAAAAGAAGGGGAATTTGTTGCCATGGCAACAGCCGGTGAAGATAATGGTGTGAATTTCATCATGTTGCTTAAGTTGGAATGATTTGAGTTTTTAAATTTGATTAGAGTACTAAAGGAACAAGTAAGATAGAAAAAACTGTTAGGGTGTTTTCTTCCTTTATTGAAATATGGCATGTTAAAAATTGCCCAAAATTAGCATTTTCATGCAACAATCGAAGTAAGATATTCTCTCTCTTTTAAGCGATGATAATTCACTAAATCTAAATCAATACTGAAATTCTCTGTTTGGAAATCTTCTGTATGCTTGTTTTGTTTTTCTATCTTTAATTCAGCTTGCTTTTAATATACTTTCATTATTTAGCTTCAAGTTTACATTTTGCTAACGCTGATAGAGATTTGCCTGTCTTGGATAGGAAAAGATACATATTGCACTGATTTACATGATATACTGATGATGTATATTAATTGTTTGAGCTCGTCAAATCAGGTGTAGTTAAAAAAATTTTGCCCTTGATTTGATGACATTTCCTATTTGCTCATTTTGATTTTGCTAATTTTCTCTTTCAAATCTAATTCAAAGAATTTATATTAGCTATAAAACTGTCTATAATTTTTAGGAAATTCTTTTATTTTTCAATCCTGCCATTGGTCTGCTATTGGATTCAATTCAAGTGAAATTCCTTAGAGATTGTATTGCTAAGACAGCTATTGCTGCTCCTTGATAATCCTCTTAAGATCTATTTTGTAATTTTCACACCTTTCTAGGGTGTGTCAAAACTACATTGTCTGCAATACAAAAAGTTTTCCTTTTAAAGATCCTGCAACTACAATGTGAAATTGAAAAGTCTAGTGTTAATGTTTGCAATGCTTTTTTTTATTAATTGTCACCTCTTTGAATTATTTAAGTAAGCATTTCACAAGAATATAAAATAGTTTCAAAGACACAGGAATTACATCATAATTATCATTGTGAAGAAAACAAGTTAAAAAACCCAATGAGAGGGATGTTGGTCATTTTTCAGTTTACTATTGCCCTGTTAGACTACTGCTCCTTATGGTAACTCTTGTTCAATTGGAAACTCATTGGGAGATGCCTGTCATTTGTTAACCTACAGTAGAACAACTGGTCTTAAAACCATTGAATCTCTGCCGAAAAATGTCAGAGAACTGATATTTTGGAGGTCCGAATTGTCCATTTTGAATGTTAATGCAAATATATGCTACCACCATGAATATATGCTGACTACAAGATTCCAAATGAACTTTACTCGTTGCGCTGACCCATTCAAAAAACACAGAAAGCCTGTGAAAGGTTTGTAGAAATATTTCAAATTCACATTCAATTTTTTTTATTTTTAATAAAAAATCCTGCTGTACATAATCTCTTTTAAAATACTGGTAAAATTTTGTTAAATAATGGTTTTAATGAGTTACAAATGTGGTGTAGTTTTTGTGAAGATTTTTGTTTGATGACTGGATCAGGCTAATGATTTTTCTTAAATATATATATTTTATTTATGTATAAATAAAAATTTTCAAAACTGAAGCTTGTATATTTATTTCAAAATGCATTTTTTATTCTTAGGTGGATTGAAAGAAGTAAAGTTGTCACTGGCACAGTACATGGTCACAATTGGTTTTATGATTGTTCCTGGAGACAAACTATGTCCCTCTTGTTTAAAGGAAATTAATGACCTGAAACTGGAAGTAGAGGGAAAGCAGAATTCACCAATGGCAGAGGACAACAAGTTGATTGAAAAGTTAGAGCAAGACACATTGAAGAAGAGAGGGAGTTGTTGCATAAAACGCTAACTACTCTTGATGTTTCACCGATGAAAGTGCATTCTCTGCCAAAATCATCAAAACTTAAGCGAGGGAAAAGAAAGTTGCGACAGATAAATGAAGCCGCTTCAAAGAAGGTTGCAGCAATACTAAATGTGGAACCAGATGATTTAGAGGAGTCAGATGAAGGGAAAGAGCAGATAGAGGAATTTATCCAGAAAGCCAGCGACTTAGACTTTTTGGTCAGTCTCATGAAAGAAAAATTGGAGGTTTCATGTTGACGGGAGAAAATCCAAATTCTTACACTGATTCCTAATTCTTGGTCAGTACGGAAGGCTTCAAACATATTTCAAGTACCTGTTTGCATGGTCAGGAAGGCAAGAGAAATAAAAGAAGAGAAAGGGATTCTTGGTATGCCAGACAAAGTGACTGGCAAGAAAATTAAAGAGGTGTTTTTAAATGCTGTTCAATCTTTTTATTGCAGCGATGAAAACAGCCGACAACTTCCAGGAAAGAAAGATTTTGTGAGCCTTGGACAAAAAAGACATATGCAAAAGCGACTTCTTTTATGCAACATAAAAGAGCTATATTCCTTGTTCAAGGCTGATAATCCTGCTTTCTGTATTGGGTTTTCCAAGTTTGCAAGCTTAAGACCAAAATGGTGCATCCCAGTTGGTCCCAAGGGGACACATTCTGTGTGTGTCTGCACTTCTCATCAGAATCTGAAGCTTCTTCTTGATGCTGCAAATTTAGGACACCAGTACCATGACCTGATTGATATGGTAGTCTGTGACAGTACTTCCAGAGGATGCATGATTCACAGATGTGCACGATGTCCTGGAATTGAAACTGTTGAAGATTGCTTACGCAATATCTTCACAGAATCAACAACATTTGGAGAAGGCAAGGAGGTTGAAGATGAAGATGATTTTACTGAAGTCACTTTTCATCAGTGGAGATCTTTGGACAGAGCTGAACTGGTTTCCCAAACTCTCCCAGTTCCTGATTTTATTGATAAGTTGTGTTGCCAGCTAGATCAAATAACCAGCCATTCGTTTATTGCAAAGTCGCAAGCTTCTTATTTGAAGAGGTTAGAAGAAACTTCGAATAAGGACGAAGTTATTGTTTTACTGGACTTTGCAGAAAACTTTAAATTTGTGATCCAAGATGAGTGAGGTCCAGGGCTATCACTGGAACCAGAAGCAATGCACATTACATCCGGTAGTCATTTACTACAAAGAAAATAATGGAGTCATTGGATCAACATCATTATGCTTTTTATCCGATGACCTGGAACATGATGTGCATTTCGTATATAATGTGTTGAAAGCCACTGCACATCATATCAGGGAAATGATATCAATGGACATAAAGGTTGTCCATTACTTTTCTGATGGTTGTGCAGGCCAGTATAAGAACTGCAAGAATTTTTTAAACTTGTGCCACCATAAGGAAGACTTTACAATTAGTTGTGAGTGGAATTTCTTCGCCACCAGCCATGGTAAATCCCCATGTGATGGGATTCGAGGTACAGTTAAGCGTTTAGCTGCTCAAGTCAGCCTGCAACGACCAATGAAAAACCAAATTATTTCTGTTGAGGCATTATTTCAATTTTGTAAAACAGAAGTCAAAGGAATCAACTTCTATTACATTACAAAGGAGGAAAACAACTTGACAAGAAAAGATCTTGAGAAACGCTTGACAGCTGCAAAAACGATTCCAGGAACTAGGGGGTTCCATCAATTTGTACCGCAATCCAAAGCATTGATTGGAGCAAAAACAATATCAGAAACCCCTGAATTTGATGTCAAGTTTGATTTCAATCTAGCTGTCATTGAACCTCATGACGATATTGAAATCGGAGATTACCTTGTGTGCAGGTATGATACACATTGCTGGGTTGGAGTGACTATTGAAGTCAGTAGTGAGAATAAAGATGTTGCCATAAAATTTTTGCATCCACATTTGCCATGTGTATCATTTATGTGGCCAAGGCGTGGTGACGTACGTTGGGTGCCAACATCAAACATTCTGAAAAAGGTACAACCACCAAAACCATCAACGATGACTGGAAGGCAATACACCTTTGAACCAAAAGATGCTCTTGAAATAGAACTGTAGACAATATGTATATAATTGAGCATTTTGTAGATTTTAATGTACATAATTTGTCAAATAATTGAAAGTTTGTTGCATTGATATCAATTGACACTCAGTGAATATGACCTTTTTGAATCATATATCTGTAAGATGTTGAAGTCAGAGCTTTAAAAGATGCACAACACTGTTTTCTTTAGATTTACTGAACACTCTTTGCTTAAAAGAGAGAGAATATCTTACTTCGATTGTTGCATGAAAATGCTAATTTTGGGCAATTTTTAACATGCCATATTTCAATAAAGGAAGAAAACACCCTAACAGTTTCTTCTATCTTGCTTGTTCCTTTAGTACTCTAATCAAATTTAAAAATCAAATCATTCCAACTTAAGCAACATGATGAAATTCATGCCATTATCTTCACCGGCCGTTGCCATGGCAACAACTTCCCCTTCTTTTTCTATATTTAGAATGACTTTTGTTTGTGACTGGAAATTTTTGATCATGTTTTTGACATCTACATAGTTGATTAGCTTGTCTGGTTTATTTTCATTTTAAATGTATCATTTCTTCATTGGTTCTAATTTAAGTAAATAATAGCAAAAATTCAAAGTGGCAGATCATTGAAAAATGTGCCAAAATTATTAAAATTTCAAACCCGTCTAACTTTTTAATAGTAAAAGATATGAAGATGAAATTTTCAGTTTATGTTTATGTCATGGTTTTCAACATGTCCACCAAAAATCATCCAAATCTGAGGTGGTGGGTTAAAAAATTACAATTTTTGTTTCATTCTGAGATGGAATGACCCCAAGGCTAATCTTAATTGCGAAGTCATTTTCATCATTTTCATCATCATCATTATTGCCACGTTTGTCATTTCTGGAGCAATTTTTTTCTGCATTGTGCTCTCCGAAAATTGATGATGTAGCAAGACGAAATGTTTCATTTTTTGGGTGGGCATTGCAAATCAAACAGTAATTTACATGTCCTGTACAAATGTTATGGAAAGCATGCCAACAACCTTCAAGTGAACAGCATGGTAAATTCACCCTACATTGCTGTTATGATGGACGACACAAGTGATTCAAGCAATGTTGAGCAGTCAGCAATTTCAGTTAGACTTGTTGATAATAGTAATGTAGAAGAACATAGGCTTGGTCTGGTTGATGTCTCCAAAGATACATCAGCAGATGGTTTAACTAAAATTCTCCTGGACACCCTAAGCTCATTCAATTTTACCTCAAAAACATGAGCAGAGAAGCTTAAAGGACAGTCCTATGAAGGGACTGTAGTAATGAGTGGCCGGTTCAGCAGGGTGCAAAGACAAATGTAGGACAAGTTTCCATCCATATATCATCAGAACTGCATAGTTATAATATGCACTGGCACAGAATGGCACTCTGCGCATCTAAAACTGCAGGTAAAATCCCCAAGATCGCAGAATTTTTCAGCACAGTTGACAAATTGATAACTTTTTTATATCTAGCCAAAAACGAACATTGGTTCTTGGGCACTGCTTGCCAAAACCAGGAAAAACAAGATGGCTTTCTTGCGATACTGCAGTGACAATAATAGATGTATGGTATGAGACAATCGGCACTGCTTTATATGAGTTTTCAACTGATACCACCCAGAAAGCTGAAAACCAGGCTAATGCAAGGCGCCTTTGCAAACAGATTCAAGAAATTGATTTCATCTTTTTACTGAAACTGTACAGAAAATTATTTCATCACTGTACACCAATCATAAAATTAATGCAAAATCCATCTTTTGACGCTATCCAACTTGCTTCTATGCTTGACCACTACCAGCAGGTCCTACAGTTGTATGACTCGAGTCAGACATGGGCAGATGCATTAAGCATGGATCCATCTCTGCCATATATTCGCACTAGAGGAGATTGGAGGGGAGTAGAGCAAAAAATGGATAGTTTGGAGAGCTGGCGGCAATCTCTGCAGAAAGTTGCTGCAAACCTTACGCAAGAATGTTCAAAGCAGATTCAATGGAGGTTTGAAAATCTAAAAAAGTTCAAGTGGGAATCGATCTTGTTCATCCAGTTAAATTTAACCAGCACAGGATGGCTACTGTCAACGACAAAAGGGCCCTAATTAGCGAATTAAAAGAGTTATATCCATTTGTTGTACCTGATACAGTGGATCTTGCTAAAACAGAAGATATCAGGTAAGACAAAGACAAAGAGTTCATGGGGTATGGACAAAATGAGTGATTATAGTTCACAAAATTCAAACATTGCAACAATTGATGTGATTGAATGTTTCAGTTAATGATTTGATTAAATAAACTGCTTATATTATTGATCGTATTTTTGAAGTTAACTTTTAAAATTATTATTTATTGAAGGAAAATTTTATTCCCAAAGTTAGAGAGGGATATGATGTCTGAGCGATGACATCGAATTGTTTGATTGACATTTAGATGTTTAAATGATATTGATAGTAGTATGAGTTAGCATGCAACAGAGATAGATCACAAATATAGAAAAGGTAATTTTCTTGGATTTCTCTACATCATGGGTCTCAGCCCCTCACTCAAAGACACTATCAATATTATGCTGGTAATTGTGTTTTCTAGGAGTGACCGGTAAATCTAGTAATTCTGCTTCAGGCATTACCCAAAAAGATATAGTCTGCTTGATGCAACTTTTGTAGTGTTTTAATCCAGAGGACTGCTACTGTTTGGCCAATTCATGCTGACGTTCTCGGATTTGGGAGGGATTTAAATTAATTATCACTGTGCCTTAACAAAAGTTGCAAAATATAAACACCAAAAAGGTAATTGAATGACTGCATTTGACTTTGTATCCCAATTATTCTACATCAGATTTAAAGGGTCTCCAGTCAAACAAAATTTTCTATTGACTAAAAAGTTAATATCTGGTGCTTGTATTATGTCTA